CTTATTCCCTACTTAACCCCAGTAAAAAAGAGTTTCGTCTTGCTGCAGCTGTAGCAGGGCCCAGTCGCCATGCACCTGGTAATCGCCAATCTGCCTTACACTCTAACTCCACTTGGAGCCTAGCAGGAATAGTAACAGTAGGAAGAATGATAGTAAGAAAATCAGCAATAGTAATTATTAATAGTAGTAGGACGTGTAATAATAGTTGTAATTTAATAGTCGTAATAATCGTGTTATGAGCAGTAATAACAACGCTGTTACTTTTAGTGAAAACATGGGCAGGGTCCAAGAAACGGTTTTCAAGCATCAGAAACTGCTGAAGGCCTTGCGCTAAGCTGTACGTCTTACTTACCTGCACTTTTATGGGTCATGCCTTAGGGGATGATTGCTACCAGCCTGTAGGGCATCAGTTTGGCGGGGATGGTCAAGCGTGTTTGGTTATGATTCTCATTCTTATGTAAGACTACGACCCAACGTAACACATTATCTTACTCTCCCACAGGGATTAAAACGCCCCTAAACAAACCACTACTCATGTGAATTATTCACGTTGACGGAATGTTGAATGCACCAGGCTACGCTAAAAACCATTAATCGTGATAACCGCAAAGACATGTTGCCGCGCCGGTCTGGTTTGACGATACGGGCCCTAAGAGCCAATATACCTGAAATAAGGAGGATACCTTGAATGACACTTGGATCCCGAATGTGATTTCAGGAGCATGCCTTAATTGAGCTGTATTGGGATCCCTCAGAATCTGTTTAGCAGATATCAGCCGCGCAAACAAACACAGCCTGCACGAATAGAGTACGAGCACGATTGAGGGTTGACAATCTCCGGCTTGGCGAAGTGGTGAGTGAAGATTGATACGAATCCCTAACCACAATCCGGCAGTTAAGGGCTACCAGACTCCACTGTGTCTCATGTAGTTGAATGTAGAGAACTCAATAAATCAGCCCGTACAAACAAAAAACTGTCAGACCCCGCCCAATAAAAGAGCTACACGACGTAGGAACGCCTAGGCAACCATGTGTCCCCGCATAATCATTTTATGACCGGAATACAACATATACTCCAAAGCCCTTTGCACGTCATGTAGGCCCCTTAACCCTCCACCCCAAACTCTCAACGATCTAGTCCGGTCGCCAAGCCCTAAGCCCTAAAATGCCAATGTCCTGCTGTAGCTGAGCGAGAATTTCCTTAACCTATCCTAGGCCTCCAAAGTGATGTACCCTAGACCCAAATAGGAAACTATATACAGACTGTTATTACAGGTCGATCTAGGAAATCTAACTTTTCAGAACTTTCCAGCGGTCCCTAAACAATACCAAAACAACTAATCTCAGGCTCAGTGCGGCGGGTTGGAAACTACCACGTCAAAGGGCTCGATGCCTCCCAGGGTTTAGGGTTCAGGG